TATATCCCTTCCAAATTCATTTCTTCATGTTTAATGCCACTATTATCAAGTCGGGGGATGAAATTACACTGTAAAAAATGGGTCATGAATTTTAAAGTAAAGTAGTGTTTTGGTCCAGCTGAAAAAGGTTAAAATTAGCATTTTGGAAGCTGTCGAAAGATTTCAAGACCCCCTTAACACAAAATTGTCCATATTTTGAGTAAGAGCTGATGAAGTTTTCTATAATTGTGATAATTTGTTCCAAAATTAGTACAATACACTGTTAAAATATTTTTTGAGAAGCGCAGGTGGGATTTTTTTTAACTTTCATTTATTGTCTAAAAGAATTGCACTACGAAATATCTGTGTTCTCGGGCCTAAAATAAGATAACACTATCAATGAATATTTGACATTGTTACGACCAGAAAAATCCACTTTTAATTGTAGCCAACAAAAGACACAAATCAATAATAAAATTTAAGAAGATTTATTATACACTAGTCTACAAGAAGTATTACACAATTAGAAATGTCAACTTAACTGTCAAAATATGAGTCCAATCTTTAATCTTTTCTTTATCCGGAAATCCTCTCGGGAATCCACGCAGAATATTACGTCCAATAGGTCACAATCTAGTATGATGTAGTTTGTAAATAAAAGTGTCAATCCAACTGCTGAGAATGTTGATGTCTTACGATGTCTAAGTCTATCTCTAACTTTAGGGTCTGCATACTTATATATATATATATATACTCAAACGGAAACTTCTAGATAACGCTAGATGTTTAAATTACGCATCTTTTGTTATGATCATTCTGGAAACGTTATGTAAGTGAAATAGAAAGTTCTAATCATTCCATGAGTATCAATGATTGTTCCAGTTTTTTCTAAACTGCATAGTTGTAAACCAATGTGTTTTATTTTGTACACAATGTAAAAATATATAATAGGCCACACAAAACAAATTAGGCCAACTAAATAAATATGACAGTTACAATATCATAACAACATGATATAACCGTTAAAAAACATTTCTCTGATTCTTTTGAGGGGTTTGAAGAGTTAACTCGACTTGTATGTTATTCTCGATTTAACTGTCTAGTGCGTTTGCGCAGTTACGTAAAAAGCTTCACCCTAGTAACCCGAGTTAATCAAATCGAAGTCGACCCTGTGTGTTTGTAATGTACCATCTACACTGACACTGACAGGTCATAGTAATTATAATTGATTTGCTTCCTATACTTTGATAGAAGGAATGCATATGATTATGGTTTGAGATGAAAAGAAAAGTAGTATAACAAAATTACCGAACTTCAAGATAAATTTAAAAAGAGGAAGTCCATAATGAATGACAAAATCAAACGCTATCAATGAACGGACCGAGTGATAAATGACATAAATGTTCACACTTATATATATGCGCATGACTTATGGTGATGTATGCACACTATCTAATCAGTTGCAGGGTACTTAAGATACGATTGATTATGTAAATACGGTAACCTATGGTTTTCCATTGAAGCTTGTAACAATTACTGCCATGTACCTGTTTGAAAATTTCTTTTCTTTTTTATTAAGTGTATTCACCAACTGATGCTGTAATGGTTATTTTAGATTTGTCGATTGCAAATATGTCATGTTACCTACTGAAGTATCTTAAATATTGGTCAATGTTCAATATTATTGAAATTTTACGACGGGATAAAAATTTAATTGAAAACGATTCATTCATAACTGATGAAATTCGTAATTGTTGCAATTTTCTAACATATTGTACATAACAGAACCATATACAACTACCATCTTCATCAACACAATAAAGAATTTACCAAAGAAACAAATGCTGAGTTTACTACTTGAAACGGAATACATAATTTAACATTTATATTTCATGATCAATGGAATGGACATGATGTTGTTGATGGCATCCTACATGACCAACCATATGTATTTAACCTGAAGTGTTTGGGAGCTTAACTAATAACTGTTTTCCAGTACTGAATTGTATTCCGAATTGGAGAAGCAGAAGAAGAAGGTATTGACGGAAACTAAATCTGGAATTGGTTCATTTCTTAATTATTTCCAAACCAGCTCTAATCATTAAGGAAAATTACTATCTACAGTTTGCATACTACCGTTAGATGTTGACATGAATATCAATTGTATGGTCATTTTTATAAATTTCTTGTCTACAAAAGTATGAATGTTTCGAAAAACTAAGGATTTTCTTATCCCAGACGAAGATTACCTTAGCCATATTTGGTAAAACTTTTTTTTGAATTTTGGGTCCTCAATACTCTTTAAATTTGTACTTGTTTGGCTTTCTAACTATTTTGATCTCAGCGTCACTGTTGAGTCTTATGAAGACGAAACGCGCGTCTGGCGTTTTAAATTATAAGCCTGGTACCTTTGATAACTATTCAATAACAGATTTTGATATTTATTATGTTTACGCATTTCACTATTGCTTCTAGTGCACTTATCTTATTTTATGTCCATTAATTGTTGATTAAAGTTATAATGAGTTACAGTATCGAGCAACTGTACGTTGATCTTATCTTTTGTGGATGAAAAGAGCACCAGACTGGTCGTATTGACATGTTATTTTCTCAAATAACTACATTTTCAATCCATCAGGAATACTACTACAATAGTTGGAAATTAACCAATATATCCAAGTATAACTACTAATTACAATAGTATATTTTTCTCAAAATGCAAACATTATTTTTTTTACTCTTTTGAAAACCACCAATATTCTAGATTCTGCTCATCTTCGTATTACTTCACGCGTTATTCTAATTTTTGATAATCAGCGTGATATTGTTACAAAAACGTAGGCTCTCTGACACAGTGAAACTGAGCGTAAACCGTTGTGTACCGTTCAATAGAAATTATGGCACTGTGAGCGCTTCACATCCAAATATGATATTGTGATGTCTAAAGAGTGTTCAAGATATCGATATCAGACCCGATGTTGCACAATTTGTATAAGACAAACCACATGGTATCCTGTGCTTTACATAAAAGAGATGTTTCGCAGAACAAATGCAATATAAAGGTTAGAGGGATATTACCTGAAACATAACGACAGAATAATAGTATGTGATAAGATTTTGTGAGATAATTCGATATTTGCTATACCATGTCTCACTTGAACGATTTTTTTTTACAATGATACTTAATTCATTAGAATAAATAGTTTGCATTATTTAAGAATTTATTCTGATATGTAACAAAATATCACATGTATTCGTAAAAGAGCAACGCTTCATAAACTAATTGTCTGCAATAAGTCAATAATTTTGTTGGAATGTGAGGTACATACTTATATTTGTCTTACATAATGTAAATAGCACCAATTTCACTGCACCAGATGTGCATTTCGACAACGAATGTCTCCTCAATGACTTGAGGCAACACTATTTGGAAATCTTAATAACCTAATTATGATATAAATAAGAAGAGCTAATCAACAAAAGGATCTCAAATCTTACATACATTTGTAGCTCTCCTGGAATTTGTTACAGAACTACTGAATTATCATTTGTTACAAAAACAAACTAGTTAGAGAAAAATTATCCAAGAACCCACTTGCACTGTTTTCTTTTGCAATTTCAGATATCTAGTTAAATAGTTCCACTCGTCATGCAGTCAACCCGTCCCTTTAATTTCGTTGAAGCGTGCTCACCTAGAATTCAGGAGGTCGTGCGTTCGAACCCTGACTGGGACGAACAGAAGACTTTTAATAGGTATTTGCTAGTGTTCTGGTGTTTAGCAGTAAAAACATAAACTAGTCGGCTCGATCAAAACAATGTGTCCAGGTAGGGCAACATGTCTTTCTGTGACCAATTACCTTGTGAACTTCCTCACTAAATATCCGACTCAAAGTGTCGGTCTAGTATAACAAATTTTGTTTCTTTCTCTATTTTGTGAGATTTTATGATTTGTGTACTTGGCGAGGAACCTTAAAAATAATTCACATAGCAAAAAATATTCTTTAAGATATTTATTACCATTATAACATGTATAAGAAAATATATCAAAACATTTCAAATGTTTATTCTATATGAATCCTTATTTGACTTTTACTACACCTTTCACTAACAGTGCTCCATTTTTATGTAAGTATAATGCAGGCCACACCGTGAAAACCACTTTAGTTCCACTACTTGTATATTCTCGGAAAACGTTTTTGTCGAAAGCTTTGTCTTTCTGTGGTCCTTCATCAAGGAACATTGGAGGGTCTTGAACTACCATCTTCCAACATAACTTAAAACATTTGGTAAAGAATGATGTCGACATGATCGTCTCAAGAATCTTTTTATCCATGGTCTTAAAGTACGCTGCTATTATTTCTTTCTTACTTTTGCGAATACTCTGCAATTAATATGTGCAATGAACAATTTACTCAGTACCCTTGAAATTAGGAAAATAATTTGTTAGAAATCAAGTTTATAAATTCCAGTGCCTCTTACTCTGTTCTAACGAATACGTTTTTCTACATGGTGATCTATTAATTATTGATCATTACTGATTCCCCATTTCTTGTTGGAGTATTGGTTAAAGTAAAGTTGACGACGGATTGATTTGAAAACAGATTAGAAGTTAGACGATGCTCACATGACAATTTTACCAAACATCAGGACGCTCTAATTCTAATAAGTTCGTTCGCAAAATGCGACGAAAATATCAGACAATTTTTTCCAAACTAATTCTAACGTTTGCCTTGTGTTTTTTGATGGACGGAAATGAAGCAATGTTTTTTTATTTGAAAATGCTTCTCTGAAAGCCGGTGGATTTTTTCCAATTTCAATCGTAAATAACAAGGACCTTTATTTAAAACTTTTTAATATCATTTATATGATAAAAATGTATTTAATGCTTCAAATTATGTCCAAAATCTACATAAGCGAGGAATATTTGCAAATGGAAGTGAATACACACTGATTTATCGGTGTTAAGGCTAATTTGGTCATATCACGGAATAACAAGATATATATTCAATCTAAAATCTTACATCCAACAGTTGATCCGACGTTGATTCTGTTGCCATTTTTCTTATGTCCATTGCTTGTTTTATAACCTAACCAAGAAAACAAAAAAGAAATTATGAAATTGCGAGTATGGTCTTCAGAAACGATGATAGTCCGTCTGAAGTGGACGATAAATGGCTGACCGTGTTGAGAGAAACCCATATTTCTTGCACGTAAAAGACACTCTTGTAGATATCGAAAAACAGCAGACTAATGCCGCTACAAGGCAGCATTCGCACCCGCAAAGTGGAAAAGAATAAATATAGGTTGCAATAATTTGTTTTCCAATACACTATGAATAAATATGTTTAAATTAAATTAAATTAGGAAATTCCATTAACAAACTGTTAATTTGATGAATCATGATCAATACAAATTTGACTGAATATGAAATATACTTGTCTCAGTCTTAGATACATGGTTATGTACTAGTTATTATTGGCCTTAAAAATGCATTCAGTAACTCCGAGTACTCTCAGTTCTGTGTCGTTCGTGTTTTCGTTAGGGATTTTTTTTGTGTTTTGTATCTGTCTGATGAGTTCAATCTTTTTAAACTGATTTTATAGTTTTTTCTTATTTTGTACTTTTATAGTTCATAATTCTGGTGTAGGTTTAGCTCTTTGTTGAAGGCCGTACGATGACCTATAGTTGTTGACTTATATGTCATTTGGAATCTTGTGGAGAGTTGAACGCACATCTTCTTTGTTTTTTCTTTTGTCCTCGTAGTATTTTTACTTTCATACGATGCTAAGTAATATGTGATACTGGCATACATATATCTAGATATTAATATGTTATCAGTTTTGGATCGAATACCAGAAATTCTGTATTTTTCAATTTAAAAAGAGCGGGAGAGACCGAAGAAAATTCAAATGACATAAGTCGAAGAGAAAATGCTGATTCTACGATAAAAAACGTAAGATAACGCAAAGACAAACAAATCCATGAAACATTGTATATAAAACTATGAATGAGCAACACAAATCCCACAAAAAATGGGTGTGACTTCAGATGCTACACTAGTCAATATGCATAACGGCCAACCAACGCATGAAGGCATCTATTAATAAAACTTTCGAAGGGATGATTTCAACTTTATTACTTTGAAGCATATGGTTTTTCAATTACTTCCCTGTAAGCAGTACCTCTTTATCAAGGACATCATGATAGGAAACGCAAGCTCTGTAATGGTTTGAATTATGCGACATTTACTTAATAAGAATGTAAAGCCGGTATAATGCTACTACAAGGAAGTCATCCCTTTTGTTGTAAAGTTTTCTTCTAAAGCGAACTTGTCCATTTCAAGATTGAAGTCAGGATATATGAGGCAGACATAACGTTATCTGTGCTCAAGCTCAATAGGATAGATGCTTTTTTTTTTAGCTCTTCGTCCTTTAAATAAGCTTTAGATTTTCAAATATTTTGGCCTCGAGCATCACTGAAGAGACATTGATTGTCGAAATGCGTATCTGGTGCAGACAAATTGGTACCGTTTATGTTATTACTACCACTGGGTCGATACCTCTGCTGATGGACTGATATTCCTCGACGGTATCACCATTTCAGTAGCCATTATTTCGGTACTGGCATGAAAATACGGATTTTGTGTTATTAGAATTTGCTGATACAAAATTTTTGAAATTATTTGAAATTAAGGAATGTATCTCCCTCATGCAAAGCTCTGATTCCTTGCCCGGCTTAGACATACTTTTTTACTCTTTTTGATTTATAGCTCTTCATCCTTTTAATAAGCTACGGATTTTCAAATATTTGAGCCTCGAGCATCAGTGAAGAGACATTGATTGTCAAATGACCATCTGGTGCAGAATAATTGGTAACGTTTATGTTATTTCAACATAGTCGCCATTTTTTTTATTTTTTTTTTAATAATTTAGTGCAAGGACAATACCTATTTTCGGATTGTGAAGACAGTGATGCTTTAATTTCTTATGATTTTTTCTTGAGAATCTTTTGATGAATCTTAGGCTATGTGAGGCTAATTGGGAATAAAAAATTCCATCCCGAGGCAAACCTTAAAAAAATCCTGTTTAATATGCAATGACGTCGATTATCGTCGAAAGACTGTTAAAGCAAAAATGCTTCTTCTTATCTCTTATATCTCATCAAACTCATGCTTTTGAATTGCTAGCATGTAAAATAACGACATTGTTGAACTTTATAAATGTGCTCCGTACACACGAAATTACTAATTCAAACGTGGATTTTCATTTGCAGATTTTTTTGTTACTCTGTAAACCTACATAATTTAGGGATAAACTTTACCGAATCAAATTTCACGTATTATCAAAAGCTATTGGGTTCATGAAGCACATTTTCTTGTTTTGAAAAGAATTCGGTTTTGATATGACATATTAAAAAGTCCACAAGCATCCCAATAAACCACATATTAACCCAATATTTACTCGAAAGAAACTAACCAAATAAAAATGCAGTTAAAATGAAATGAATACTTCTCTATTCACTGATGACTTCTGTTTGATAAAATAAATATTATTCTTATAAGATGATTAGACTGTGGTTTAGAACTTATAGGAGAGGGTTATTTAGCTTTCAAACGATTTCCAACAGAGAAATGCAACGTCATTTTAGTCAAAGAATATTAAAAGCTCTAATGATTATCCAATTTTGTTAGTGAAAAATAATTATAAGGTTGCAGCATAAAGTACTTTGATCTTACCAGGTCCATATCTATATTAACACAGATGATATATAAGAAAAAGGTATATATATATTATTGTAGTTAAGTCCGATAATCATAGAAGACAACTTTCAGTCTTGTCATGCATTTAACATACATTTTGTTTACTTTTGTTCCTTTAATGAACACCATAAACGATTACCTCAGCCTCACTGCTCACAATCATTAGAGTTGTCACTGCAGTTAGTAAACTTTCTTTTCCGGCTTTTAACATGACTGCAGACTTTTCCTCGCAATATTTGTGGCAACACTAAAAAGGTTTTAAATGTAAATGTCAATAATTGAATATCAATTTGTCAAAGTGCTCATTATTATATACAAGTATGGTGCTATGTGTCACGTATTTTATAAAAATTATAAAAAAAAATATTTACAGAGGCGACGGAATTGTGATACAAGATCCCATGTGCACTTTATACCAGGAGTTTGTAAGGGGGAATAAAACTCATTAGACTATGTTGTTACTAATTTCTTGAACTTTTCGGCCGATTGTTTTTTTAAAAACTTACCAATTATTTTCAGAAAAATAAAACATACATTTACAAAGTTTAACATCATCTTCTAAATTGATATACATTCATTATTACGTACTAATTATTCTGACAGTTTATTAACATTATCTTGTATCGATTAATCACCCAACGCTCTCGTGTGCCTGCCTTAAGTCAAAAGCCTCCGCAATGATTGTCAAATATCATTTTATCATAACAAATGTTCCAATGTTGATATAAGTTTCTTAGGAAAAACCCAGGAGCAGATCCATAATTAATAATAAGAGTGATGTAATTCCATAAACGGATATATACACCCGAGCGCCCAGAAAATCATATAAATCGTGAAAAAACATGATATAATTATATATATAAGGCAATCACTATACCCCTGGATCCGCCACTGCAATTAACGATAGAGCGTGTACCAGTCGGAATGAAATTTAACGGACATAACAAATCCCAACACCATATCCCCAAATTGTATACAAAAAGTAGTTTGTTTCCAGGGTCAGTGAACACAGTTTTCCAAAGAAAATAGTCGATTAGGTATAATACCATTTGAGATATTTTATCATAAATACCTTAGTATTCATCTTACTTATATTTGGAATTCAAGAGTATGAGATAAGAAGTTATATAATAGAGCTTGAAATGTTGTATAATTAAGGATAACTTGTTGAAACTGTATATTGTCTTCCGTACTTCATTCTCTTATTTGTTTCTTGAGATTTTTGTCTCATTTTATATTTCCTCTCATCTCCTTATTCTTTTTCCTGAAATTTGGTCCATCGATTTCCCTTAACATACAGTTTGATGAGGGTTTTTTTGTAATTCTTGTATGTGGTCAATGTCCTATTGTTACAGTAGCACATGGACTGTATTTTTATTAGCAAATACTGAAATGTACAATGCCGACATGTTCACAGAAAAATGGTGAGTGATAATGTCTTTTTCAATTTGGAAAACTATTTTTTATGATAATATCTTTATTTTCATGACCTAGGCAAGAACATGCTTTAACTTGATGACTACAAATACGATAAACGCTGTCTAACCTGATAGTGCCTTTATAAATTATCAATATAAAGTCATTTATCTTTACTTATCTTTGGGTGTTTTATTTTCTTCCATGACTGTAATGAGCTAAAGTCTAATTTGTAAAATTGCTAGGAAAACAGACTCAAATCGAAAATATAACCAGAGAAAATGAACGGTCGGGTACACTTTTCTACCCAATACACCTTAAATTTCAACCATTACATAAAGGTCCATTTCAATATGTTTTTACCATCTACTTACAACTATTGTTTTAAACAAATGTTGAATAATAGAGTCTTCCCCATATGATTTGCCAAACTTTTGTATACACAAATCCATAGTATCAGTCCATTCATTGTCATACAACTCTGAATAAGTTTCTCCTATTTTCATCGGCCTGTTCGGGTCCCCTAAGTTTGTAATGTTCGGATTTCCATCAGTTAATCGAGCTCCAGCCATCTTACTCAACCTGTACAATGATATATTCTTTGTAGTTTTAAATAATGAGTAATTAAGTGGTGCTTTGTTACTGAAAAAAACGTAATGGAAGTGAGCAATCTTCTCAAGACAATATACTAATTCCCGTCATGATACTTAAACATAATAACAATAGCGTATGTAATGGAATCTCTATCACCCATTCAATCAAACCTTTCGTAATTGTGGGTCTTCAATGTTCTTCCACTTCGTTCTCTTGTGGCCTTTTTACCTTTTTGTCGAGCGTCACAGATGAGTTTTGTCGCCGAAAATCGCTTTCTGCGTACAAAATTTTTAAGTCTGGTATTTATGATGAGTTTATTGGCTACATGCATGTTTACCTGCACTTTATGTTAATATCTTGACATATTGATTCAGGGGGCCTCTGTGGCCGAGTGGTCTGAGTAGTCTAACTACTGAATCACTAGGCAGTAAACACTGAGGTTGTATAGTTGTAAGTTCGAATCCCGCACGGGACAGGTGCACTCGACTCCAATCTTAATTGAAATTAATTGTCTTAATTGATAAGGATTATCAGCTTTCACACTGAAGATCGGGGGCTTCCCTCCGAGCACTCCAAAATATTACAATAGTGTTAAAAGTAGCGTTAAACACCAATCAATCAATCAAGATAACTGTCATATGCTGTTGGTCAGCAAACCCTTCCGAGTTGTAAATGAGAAGTCAACTCTGCAAACGTGTATCGTTCACCAACAATTATTATCGAGTAGGACTTAATATTCGATTTTTACTTTTGAGAACAAATCGGGTATTACAACATTTGTACAAGTAAAGCATAAAACTACTCATTCGTCGGTTGTACACATTCGTCGGTTTTACGGGGTTTTGTGTTCCTTAAATTTTTGTGTTCTTATGAGGGTAGTGTGCTTTATTAATAATTTTCATTAATTATTCTGCCTTGTTCTTATTGTGTTTAGTTTGGCGAAAAATACCATGGGGATATTCCGGTTGGTGCTCCGGAAGTGGAGGCAGATCCGGCTCCACAGTTGTCATATGTCGTGTTGCTTATTTAAGTACAAACCCGATGATAAGCCTAATTCGCTTACACCTAAATAAAGGCAACAGTAGTATACCGCTGTTCAAAAGTCATAAATCGATTGAGAAAAAAACAAATCCAGCTTACAAACTTAAACCGCACATTAAGTATATGAGGAAAACAACGAAACAACAGAAACAATGAAGTGCAACAAAAACATACGCCAACATACATAGAAATGTTTTATTTAATATCAACTGCCATATTCCTGACTTTGTACGGGACATTTTAAGAAAACATGGTGGGTTGAACCTGGTTTTATTGCTAGTCAAACCTCCCACTTATATAGCAATGTTAACAAATATCGCTAAAATGACACCACTACGTGAGAGGAATACAGTCCTGTAACGTATAGAATAGTTTTTTATACTCACCTGTGCTGTAAGGTCTCGCATTCATTTTTTGTTTCCTCTAATTGTTTCTTTGTTTGACCAATCTCTTGACTAAAATGATATATTTTATGTTTATTATTTGAAAGCAGATTCTTTAACAAAAAAGGCTTCATTTCTCAATCAAAGTAATTAATTTGTAATTGCAATGTCGTCTTGATTCTAAACTTAAGTTCACACTGGTAATTATTGAGCTCAAAAATATGTTGTTCTACTTGATACTGAATTGGTCTATCTAACATGTTTAATGGAAAATGCAATTCATTTTAATGATTTATTTGTTTCACAACAGTCGTCTGTACAAAACTTTAAAAACCAAGAAGACGATTTTAAAAGATAAAAAAAGACGTTTCTGTTCAGTCAAAACTTATACTGATTGACCTTAAATTGTATTTGTGTTAATAGCAAAACAGCTAATTTGTGTGAGTGGTTACTCTCATTGATAAGTTTGTTTTGTACATACAATTAAGGATACTCGATCAGAATAATTTCATAAAACAAACATTCAGTGTCTGTTATCATTATGCATTTCCCCATGTGGTTCTTATAAAAGGAGAATGTTGCCAATGAGAGCATTTAGAAAGTTAGAAACAAACACTCAATATATTATATCTTCATACTTTTTTAAAGCATTTTCATCACATATTTTGGGAATGTATGAAATTCTTCTAATTTTAGTTTGATTTTTTATTGCTCGTCCATAGATCGATTCCATAGCAACATTTTTAAAGATAAGTGTTATCTAATTGTACCAACTAAAACAAGTAATTTGGTAATTGATTTTTTTGTATTTAATAGTCTTATATGCCTTTCTAATTATTTGACTCACAGATTTTTGTCATATTTTTTCTTCAAGGACTCTACATTTGTGACAAGTTGTAATATGTCATCGTTAAATGATGACAAATCAGCAAAATCTTCAACATCAAATCTTTTCCCTTCCATTTCAATATTTTCGATACTGTTTCTGACGTAAAATGTCGCTTTTTGTGTTGTGTTTAGAACATGATTTAGTGCTTTATCCTTCACTCTGTAACATCAAAGAGTCCGATAATAAAAAAAGCTATATATCTTATTTATACAAATAACTGAACATGATATTTAACAAATTTGGACATATATTCAGAATTTAAGCCCTAAAAACTTAGATTGACAAAATTGAATCAATATTTCACTTTTAAAAAAGATATATACAAGATATATTTTATTTGTGATATATCAGTCATTATTTAAATGGAAAATCAGGACATTTTATTGCATCCAAGTCTGATTCACGCCTGATCTTTCAGACTGCTTCTTCTAGTTTTCTTCGTTGTGCGTAAAATCCTAAATCTTCAATAAACATGATAAAGGGTAACATTTTAGCGTCGTTTTTTAAAAGTGAAATTTTGATTAAATTGTGTCAAAATATTTTTGGGGGTTGTAATTCTAAATAGTTGTCCAAGTATGGCACTCAAAATATTTGTTTTTTTTTATATTTTTTTATTTTCATAGAATTTCATCTCATATAGATTTTTTTTAGATATAACATGCCGTGAACAACAATCCCTATTTGGTAAGGTAAAATATATCATGTAAGGCTGATTGACTGCAGTCAATGTTAAGATATCTCTTATGCCAACGGCTCCTTTTTTCATAATTATCATTTTACTTGAGGTTTGTTCTTGTGTGTGGTGGGGAGGTGTTGTTGTATACTGATACTGTATACTGTACTAGTTCAGTGCAAATGAATTTCATACTTAAACCAAAAACATATAAATGAACTCAACATTAAAACACATACAAAACTTAACAAAGACCTAATTCATCCGAATAAGGGCTGATTTGCTCTAATCACTTGATAATAATAAATAACGCAATTAGTATTTCTTGAACATTTTTTGTGAACTACTTTATAGTTCTCCTTAATTTAGTATTAGTGGATCGTTGGAATAAGTAGAGCTTAACACTAAAATTGTATTTTTACCCATGTTGATGGTCTAGATTGTTAAATTCATCTTGTATGAAAGTTAGAATTTTGTCCAATTCCTTTACAGTTTCTGATATATATCCTTGTAAATTATCTGGTATGTTTGTTCGTTCCCTTGTATTTATTTTTTTCTCATGTTGTGGGTTCTTGTGTTGTTCCTTGGTATTAGTCTTTCTTTCATTTGTATTTACGTTACTTGTAGTCTTATTTTCGCTAACTCTTCCAGAAACGCGTATTTCTCCGTTTTTATCTTTGCTCGCTTTAATGTTTTTACTGACAAACTGGGCTTGAGCTAAGTGATAACCAAGGTCCCTGAAATTAGAAAAGATAAAAACTGTTCATTTATCTTATTTTATCAATATTGTTATCATTACATTTATTGCTGATGTATTCGAAATTTTTGCATCTGTTAGATTTAGAATTTAATTAATCATTTTGTTTTAATTAACATATGTACTTTCAAAAATTAAGAGAAAAACATAAAAGCTGCAAAACGTATTAAACACATAGAGATTTAGCTGCAAGCTATATATGGCCTGATGTGAATCACGTGTTGTGTGTAATGAAATCAGTATCAACCAGGTAGTTTTTTTATTTCTTTGTTGATATTGCTGCTGATGGACGTTCCATCCACCCGAAAACCGATGGTTCTGTGTTGGCATAAATATTGATTTTGTAAATTTGCAAACCCCTCAACTTTTATTCTCGAGTGTCCCCTGTCGGATGTTATTCTTGAAACGGATCTTACTATTTTGGAGATTTCCTTTTTTCAATTTCAAATAAGCATTTCAAAAACTGAAATTGTTTAACGTATTTTTCTTTTAGAGCTTATGTATAATTGTGTGACTGTACTCTTTCAAATAAGATATATAAAATTATGTCTTAACGAATTTTTTTAAAGTTACATCTATACTTTTTTTACCATTTTTTTCTCCTTCAGGAAAATAGGAAAACACAAACATGATTAATAAATTACCAATAAATGGTTTTAATCCTTCAAGAAATTGATCCACAATTTAAATTATTTGATTGTTTAGAAGATTTACATTTAAAGTGGTGCTGTTTACAGTTTCTTCATATATATTGAATATTTCAAGACAGAAACCAAGAACGGAAGAATTGCAACAACTTTCAGTTAATGTATAATAAATCTATTTTGACACGTAACAGTTTTTTTCTTGCTGATCATTTTATTTTTGTTTTATAAAGGAATATATTTTATAGATTTTAAGAAAATTCCAAAGTTCAAAAAGGGTAATAGTTGTAATATTCTTATACAGAAGGCCAATATTTCTTTATAAAGAGTTAATTAGTAATTTCAATCGTTTGACATATTTGTAGATTAAAGGTTTCTCATCATTTTGCAGTTGAAAGTTTCTATCAATCTTAACAAACTTTAATATAATGACTGAAACATACAAAACTGAAAATCATCAATTAAGGGCAGTAACTTTTATGAGGAGTCGAGTTTATTTCGGTTTTGTTGACTTATATGACTGTTATTAGAATCTCCTAAATTGATTACTTTGTGGTCTATAGTTTTTCCTTTTTCGTTATTTTTTATTGACAAAATTTACGAAATGTACTTTAATTCGTCATTTAAGTGCCAGAGGTTCAATTAGGAATTAATTGAAATTTGTAATCAATTAGAAACTCGATCTGAGTATGGTTTTTTTTTTTCATTACATCTATAGAACCTCTTTTATTTACAAGATATAAAAAACACAATATATATATGCTCGCATGTTATGTTATGCCTTCTTTTCAAATGAGAAGAGTTAATATGCTATATATACTTACTGGAGGTATGATGAAAAGATGAAGCGTTTTATTTAATTTGATTAAATTTGTGTACGTTTCGGCATTAAAATGTATCGAAAGGTTGCAGATATTCCATCGGACAACAGTTGTGCTCTTTGAATAGCAGACTGGTTCTTGTACTGTTTTGAATCACAGTGTCTGACCAAACTCAGTAAAGAACCGTCTAAATTACGTTAAATGGATAAATTTAAAAACGCTGATCGTTATCTCTATGATAATGTTTCGTTAAATAATCAAGACATTTCTTAATTCACTACCGAAATTTACCCAGATGAACCAAATATAAACGGTAATAACTGTCCTTTCTTAGATATAGATATTTATTTCATTTTTAAACGGAAAATCCTATTCTAAAATTTACGACAAAGAGGACGATTTCTTTCTGTCCTTATGATAAATTTTCCTTTTTTGAATGATAATGTTTGACATCATCTTAAGATGTTCAAAACAAACTCGTTCGCAATATGTGCCCGTGTCTGTAGTGACGTTTTTTTTAATTTTTTAAATTTTTTTTATTAAAATGTCTATAGGAGAATTTAGTAAAACTTTTAAGCAATTTACGGAAACGAAATACCTGACTTAATAATTTTCCAGTAATACATATGAGCATATATGATATGGCCATTCGGTCCCAATGCTGAAAATCTTTCAATCGTTTATGGGTGAATTTAAGATACATAAATAAAATTCAAAAATAAGAATGCTTCTTTGTTACATATTTGTATGTTGTTGTTTTTTTTTTAGTGATTACGATTATAACACAATGTTGACTGCTGTTTGTTTTTTACATTTTTACCTATTATATCTGTTTGTTTTGTTCACGCATTGTTGTCCATATAATGGAATTTGATGCGACTGTCATACAAGTGAGAGGTTTAGCTATCTATAAAACCAGGTTCAATCCACCATTTTTTACATAAGAAAATGCCTGTGCCAAGTCAGGAATATGACAGTTGTTATCCATTCGTTTGATGTGTTTGAGCTTTTGATTTTCTCATTTGATTAGGGACTTTCCGTTTTGAATTTCCTCGGAGTTCAGTATTTTTGTGATTTTACTTTTTATGTTACATATCATACATATGTTACATATGTATTCCTGGAAAATTATTAAGTCAGGTATTTCGTTTCCGTAAATTACTTAAAAGTTTGTAAGTTTTGCTGTACCTAGAACACTTATTTTTACAGAGATTGTGTTTACCGAGGCAGGAAATTTAGATACGATCCGGGTAAACTAATCGATCCTTTATTTTTTTTTCTAAATGTTATGAATTTGACACAGTAAGAAGTTTTTTAAATATTGTTTCTATACCGTAAGTATCGATATTTATCTTGTTATCAGTAAATTAAAACAAACTAGCATTATTGTTAGATAAATACATACATATGCACATTCACGGTTCTACTATATATATCGATACCTGTATTTTGGCATTGCACAAGGTCGTAAGCCTGGTACCTTTAATAACTTTTAGCATGTCGTAATGTTCTATTGTATTGTTTATTTGTGTATATCTCTATCCTGAATGTTCTTCCATTTATTTGTAATGTAGTCCTGTCATGTAATGTTGTCATTTTAGTGTTATATTTAACATTGCCATAAAAGCGGGAGGTTTGGCTAGCCACAAAACCAGGTTCAACCCACCATTTTTTCTTAAAATGTCCTGTACCAAATCAGGAAAATGGCAATTGTTAAATTATAGTTCGTTTCTGTGTGTGTTGCATTGTCGTTTGGTTTTTTGTTGCACTTTAGTGTTTCTGTTGTTTCATTGTTTTCCTGTTATATTTGATGTCTTTCCCTCAGTTTTACTTTGTAACCCGGATATGTTTTCTCTCAATCGATTTATGACTTTCGAACAGCGGTATACTACTGTTGCCTTTATTTTTCTCTGATTGTTAATAACGTCTTCACACTAAATCCATTGGATGTTGGATTTGTATACTGATTGATACTTTAGTCTTAGAAACATATTTCTTTAGTTGTTATTCACTTTGAACTAGCTGTCAGAAACTGCGAGTACTATCAGATCTGTACTCTCAGATCTGCACTTAATGTCCTTTTTATTATAGTGATGTTTATATACCCTGCCACGTCCGGTATGTGTTTTTGTTACTTTTTAATCTGCTTTATATCGATCTAATGAGTGATGTCCTTTTCAATTGAATTTTATTGTTTGTTCATATGTCGTACTGTTACACCACTGTCCAAACTGTACGGGAGGGGTGGGACACGATAGCATGTTTAACCCCGCCAAATTCTGTATGTGCCTGTCCCAAGTTCGTAGCCTTTAATTCAGTGCTTGTCGTTTGTTGCTGTATATCATATTTGTATTTCGTTCGTTGAATTTTACATAAATCAGGTCGTGTATTGTTTTACTTTTGTCGTTTTGAAGCCTTTTTTTATTCAGTTCTGTTTTATTTAACAATGGCCCTAATTTTAATCAATTGAAAGAATCCACAGATAACATCTACAAACTAGATTCCTTAAGAGATATTCATAGAAAGCTTGATTATACAGTCAACACCGAACGACTTTATACAACGAATGCCAATTGAATGCCAAAGCTCAGACGGAAGTTTGGTACAAGTTAGCTTAAAGTAAAATATAAATAAATTATAACTTTATTTACTTTTTGTCGTTTTCCATTTGTTCTTTCATTTGTAAAAGAATATCAACTTCTTTCTGTATAATCTCCGCTGCTTTGCCTGTGTCTAGCAAAGAATGTACCGTCTGATTCGTTTGGTCTTCTCGTTTACAAAGTCCAATAGCAATCTGTCTGATCTTATCAAGATGACTGTAAAAATAATTAATAATTCGTCTGCTGGTACAGTGTTCACATTTAAATAACAATTTATAAACATGTAGAAGGTTGTTTACATGTTTAATTTTCCTTTGATAATATAACAACAAATGTTTTGCTATCAATAGATTATATTCTGTAATTCAAATTATGTCTTTTTCGCTAATCCAAAGATGCTTGATTATGGCACCGAGCTTAATATAGATATTAACATGTATTATTTTTGTTGCGGCTGTATTACTTTTGTAAATTCCTGATGATGTTATTGACAAGAACACTTGTAATTGATAAGCCATTACAAAAGCCTAAATGAAGAAAGATCACCGCCGTGGATAAAAGTCTGTACTCAAAATAATACTTCTTCAAGTCCATTGAGAAAGAAAAGTTTGAACTGCCTGTTAAGTTGAACAGATTAAAGCATATAGTAGAAAATATATAATTTGTAATTAAAATAGTGGCTGTATTCCATATTCGTCTCAGAACTACATTTAGAGCCTAGGGCCTCTCAAATCAGACGTGAAGGAACAATTTTAGGGTAGTTGAGTTGTGAATATTGTTATAAGTCAGTTTCTCGTAAAAAAAATAAAAAATACGGGGACAGTTGTGATGTTTTAAGATTTATCTGAGTACTCATGTGAAAGCAGGATAACATATGATCATTTTTCAACAACAGTCATCAAAAAGGAATTTAAAGAAACCGTTGATCTATATGAAGGTTGTTTGCTAGTTTAAAAAGAAATGGCGTTTTTTTTTTCATTTGTCAATTAGAAGTTTCTTTGATGTTTTGGTTAGAAATATAAAAGTAATAGGTGCACGTGCTAATGAACTAACTGCCAACCATAGAATGATCTATAGGTTACCAGGAAATATAACAGAAAAAAAACCATAACGACTATTGCATAATGATAGAAATTTAAACACATAGCTATAGCAATATATTGTGAAGAGAAAAAAATACATGCTACCACACGTCTTTAAAAAAAACGAAAATAATATACGTTAATAAAAAGAGGTAATGCATGTGCATACAAGAACAAATATCATTATGTTTACAATTGAACTAGCCAGGCACCTTGTTGAATATAATTCTAAGACTTTAGAGAAAATGTCAGAGACAACAAAATTCCTAATTTCAACACAATGGTGTCAGTTTACAATTAATGCATGGCACATATGTGCTATATCACCTAGAAGTTAGAAGAAAAGTCGTATTTATTCCCACTTATTTATATATCTATTTCAATTGGTTTGTGTGAAAGTCTTTTCGAGATTTAAACCGGAACAAGCTTTTCTTAAATCAATGACCTACGTGATCACTCGCAGATAGACATTGATCAGGATCCCATATTATGCTACCTAAGTGTTCCTTTGCAAAAAGCCATGGGAAAGTAGCCATAATTACAAACATTTTCAAATAGTTTTTAATTATGATTTCCTTATCAGTAGATTATGTACCGTTGGTTTGCTTTCAGTTACTTCGTGTATTTTAGATATATTATTAAGTATTATTTATCTGTATTGCTGATTTTTTTACATTTTTCAGTGTAATTTTGTTGAAACCGTATATAATTTGCCCTCTAGAGATTGTCTTAGATATATTTGGTCTAGAATCAATACAAGTAGATGCCAGATGTCCGTTAATAAGACAATTATCTATTTAAATACTGTTGCTTATAGAACACATGAAATTAGATAAAATCCATGTTCACTTAAAAATCTTTAAATAATTTGACAACTAAGTAAAGGTTATCAATCTAACATATATTGTACTAAGATTTTTTTAACGTTGTCTCACGGGTCCTAAGATTTAATTGGTTTTTAATAAATCAAAACATAACTTAATACATATTGTCATGGCATAAGGACAGATGGTAGTACATCTGTTGAAACTTATATTTTGCCATGCTTTTCTTGCTAACATACGGTGTATGATATCGTATTTGCATTAAATCAGTTTAATGTGTAACGAATTATATTTTGCTTTGAGGAAATAGGATCTATATATTGGTTGAAATTGGATTTTAATCAGCTTTAAGTAACTAAGGAACTGGTTGTTTTCTAGGATCTTTCGTGATGGTTAAGAAAAAGTTGCTATAATGTATTCAGCATATCATTACAATGTTGTAGTAATTTCTTTGCCTGTTATATAGATGATTAAATTCATGTTGTTTTTTAATTTTCTAAAACATTTTTAACATGTTTAATTAAATACCTTTTTTGCTCTTGTAGCATAGACTCATTCTTAAGGGTTTCAATTATTCTCGGAGCATTATTATCAAAAGCTGTGAAGACGGTAAAAGGCGATTCATCACTTAAATTTGAGTGTTGTTTGTCATTTTGCTTGCTGGTCTTAAATTTATTCATGTCTTTGTCCTCCTTTTGTTTTTTAACTTTAGCATTCTTTTTATGTTGGTCTTTGCTAGCATCTTTTTGTTGCATGTCCAAGGTCTCGATTTCTCTGTTTAGCATACTAAGAATTTTACTCAATTTCCTAGATAAATATCAAAAATTAACTATAGTATACAAAACAAAGATGAACAACTGAATATATTTCCAAGAAGCTATATATATATATACAAAATATTGAAAAAATGCACAAAATCAATGTACTGCTAAGAGAAAATTACATGTTTGATCTTAATCTCATGAAAAATTTTGACCATATTCAATTCCATATAACGCTTCTCCCAAAACTTCATTGAAACATGCCAAGCATTCTATATCATTTTTATCTCCATGCAGATCTGCTTCTCCTTTATACTCGTAACGAACTTATTGTACACTGAGCACGGCATAGATTTTTATACAAAAACAATCAATGAAAAAATAAAGGGCTACAGTATGTACAGTATTTAAGAAGCTGTCATCATTTAGTTAGTTATCGGGAAAAAACTTGCATATAACATTAAAATAACTTTGTGAATGTGACGACATTCTTTTCTTTTCATAATTTTATACATATAGCTCAAAAGCTATTTTGTTTAAATCTTTTAAAATCCTTGTCACTTTTTCATAGTTTTCGAAAGAGCACAGGTACCAATGTTAAATGACTGAAAAATCTAGAGGGAATATTTCTTCTAAATTTTCATTTTTATTCTGTCTCAAAAACAATAATACAGACTTTTATATTTTTCTCTGTTTTTTTAAGTTCCTTTATTTATATGCTATCAATTTAATACAGTCTTTTAAAAGGAAAATAATTTTGAAACAGAGGAGCTAACATTCTAAATTAAAATGAATTAATTCATTTTTGAAAAAAGATACTCCTGGTTTATAATATTTTCAATAGAAATTTGTCAAACATATACAATACAATAGTACAATAGTTTTGTATTTGCTACTTTGCTGTACACGTCTGTCTGTGAGCTTCAAGGACGTTATTAGAGTGTTAGAAAGCATGACTTATATATTACATGATTAAATACATTTAGCGTTTGTTTACTTAGAGCATACAGTTGTAATAGTCACTTGATACAATTTTACACTTGTATCTGCTTTTTGTTTCATGCATAACTTAACTGCTGTTTCTGCAATGATTTCTATTGTATGGTTTCTATGGGAATTAACTTAATATGATTAATTTTGATAAGAGACTGGGTACAAGTTCTAAATAAATCGTATTCTTAACAAGTCAAAAACCTCATCAGTTTTCGTTATTTTTGTTTAATATAATTTTCATACTTAATTACATTTATGACCACTACGGACTTTGGCAGGCTCTGTTAACACTTATTCAACATTTGCCGAAACGCTGGCTGATTTGGAGCTTGACATTAGTTTATTGTTGAAGACAGTATGTTGATCCGTAGATTCTGTTTAAGGTTAATTGGGTTGTTGTTTTTTTACGTACCTTTCCTTAAACTAATTTCATAATATGTTCATAAAATAATTAAAACAAATAGTTTGGGCGCTTTTTTTATCGTGTCATTTGTTACACCGGCCCTTACATTTTGCAATTATTAAGAGTTTTAAAGATACTGGCAAAGAATTGCAGGATGGTTTTATGCTTTGTTCTTTCTGAACTCGTTATAGGTTTACACGAATGATCCCCAGTTAAAAAATAATGGCAATGAATATGCAATTAGACCGTTGGTTTTTCCGTTTGAATGGTTTTACACTAGTAATTTTTTGGGGCCCTTTATAGCTTGCTGTTCGGTGTGAGCCAATGCTCCGTGTTGAAGGCCGTACCTTGACCTATAATGGTTTACTTTTATAAATTGTAACTTGGATGGAGAGTTGTCTCATTGGCACTCATACCACATCTTCCTATATCTAAGTCTGATCGACACTATCGAATTTAAGAGTATGTACTGTAAATTCAGAAATTATTGCGTGCATTTATTATTACGATTTTATCATTTAGACTACTATGCGATTTTAATGTTTGCGATATTGACAAAAATTCCTATTTATTCATATAAAAAATTTCAAAATGCGAGTTTAAATTATTGCGTTTATAACCCTGTTGCATTTTTTCGCAATAATAAAAACATTGCAATAATTTCTGAATTTACAGTATCTTAAACCATGTGTGATGAGGATAAGTGTGTGTGGCAGAAATTTGGTTGTTTTTCATAAATTTATTCACACATATTATTGTCTTTTGGCAGTTCAGGGAGATTGGCATAGTGTATAGACAAATTGAATAAGAAAGACAGTATTTGCCTGGTATTGACCATTTCGTTCATGTCATATCATGTCGATGAAGTTCGGTACTTACCTATTTTCTTCCAATAAGCAAGTAATAGTTTCCTTTGAACTCTTAACATCATGCGGTTTTTCATCAACTGACTCCATTCCTAAATCTTTTCCACTTGAGTATATTTTTTCACAGATTAAATTTAAATCTCTACAGCAATAAAGAGATATTTAGAAAGACTGGACATACATTTTACACTTTGGAACTAAATACCCATGCAGGTATTAGCCTCATAATATACATGTAACAAGAGCTGTCAGAATGACAGTAAACTGGATTTTTTAACATTTATTTGTGTCCTGGCATTTATCAATATCACAAGGACCAAAACTCCTAAATGGCAAAAGTTACAATCATCAATATCTAACTTGACCTCCATTTTGTCAACAGTAACAACATTTTAAAATGTGAAAAGCTTTGATTGAATGGTTCATGAGTAAATGCAACGACATGACCGGAAACGCCATTTTTCAATCTTTCAAGAACCATAACTCCTGAACGGTAAAAGTCAAAATCGTCATTATTGAACTTGACCTCCATTGTGTTTTCAGTAACAACATATTAAATTTTAAAAGCTTTGGTTGAATACTTCATGAGTAAATGCACGGACACGACTGGAAACGCCATTTTTCAATCTTTCAAGAACCATAACTCCTGAACGGTAAAAGTCAAAATCATCATAATTGAACTTGACCTCCATTGTGTTTTCAGTAACAACATATTAAATTTTAAAAGCTTTGGTTGAATACTTCATGAGTAAATGCAACGACATGACCGGAAACGCCATTTTTCAATCTTTCAAGAACCATAGTTCCTGAACGGTAAAAGTCAAAATCGTCATTATTAAAATTGACCTCCATTTTGTCGTCAGTTGCAACATTTTTAAATTTGAAAAGCTTTGGTTGAACGGTTCATGAGTAAATGCACGGAAACGACTAGAAACGCTATTTTTCAATCTTTCCAGAACCATAACTCCTGAACGGTAAAAGTCAAAATCGTCATTATTGAACTTGACCTTTTTTTTGTTGTCAGTAACAACATATTTAAATTTCAAAAGCTTTGGTTGAACGGTTCATGAGTAAATGCACGGACATGACTGGAAACGCCATTTTCAATCTTTCAAGAACTATAACTCCTGAACGGTAAAAGTCAAAATCGTCATTATTGAACTTGACCTCCTTTTTGTTGTCAGTAACAACATATTAAAATTTTATTTTAAAAACTTTGGTTGAACGGTTCATGAGTAAATACACGGACACGACTGGAAACACCATTTTTCAATCTTTCAAGAACCATAACTCCTGAACGGTAAAAGTTAAAATCGTTATTATTGAACTTGACCTGCATTTTGTTGTCAGTAACAACATATCATTATTTTAAAAGCTTTGATTGAACGGTTTATGAGTAAATGCACGGATAACATTTGACTGCCGCCCGCCCGACCGCCCGCCGTACATCCCCAAATCAATAACCGATTTTTGCTTCGTAAATCCGGTTAAAAACTAAATCAGTTTTATTTGAACAAAACGAATTTGTGACCTGTAAACACCAAACGATTTCTTCGCAGGGCTGTCAATTTTTGTTCGTGTTGCAATTGTTAATGATTTATACATGGTTATACGACGGACGCACAAAGCTATTTAATAAATGTAATTTTTATTTGCAGAACCAACAAAAATCTTATTTTGCACACGCATTGAAATATTTTTCGTTGAAATAAAACCAAGTCTATCAATATTAATTTATATTATTTGGTTATAACGGTTCTGTATTGTAGTTTAATTAGCGTAAGAGTTGTTTCAATGTTTTATATTATTTCGAAGGCCTAAACTTTCATTTCTGTTTCTTTTTTTCCACAATATTGCGAAATTTGAGACGACCCGTATTACTTAAATATAAAGACGATTAACATAATTATTTTTTATTTATGAATTCGATGGAGATAATTGCCAAAATGAAAAAAAACTACATTTTAAACATTCAGTTTTAAAATGAATGAATTTATGAAGTAGACAGCGCACCAACATTCTTGTTTGTTTTGTGAGATTAAAATGAACATGTATTTATAGGGAAACTGACTTCCTCATTCGTGTAAAGAACAATGAATAAAGCATTAAATTTTAAGTTCTATATAGAAAATTTAATTAGAACCGCCATAATTATGTCTTGACATTTTGAAAAAAATCAAAATGTTGGTGAATACCCTTTCCATTACGGTCTTATTTCGAATAAAATAATCTTTTGAATTTTCCGTGGTAAAATTGGTAATTACTTTGTGAACTTATAAACGAATTTTACAATTGTTTATTACATTGTCTCTTTCTTTTCCTATAATTGCTTTATCTAGTTTAATGTGTAGGCTTCCAATTTTTTATTGGTGGTTTTCATTGCCTCAATTAATGTGTAGTCTACATAGCATTCAGTTATCTTCGCCTATTAAATAAATAAACTATATCTATATAGATCATACTTCCTAGCAGTCACTAAATCACTATTCAGTTTTATCTTCTCATGTTTCATCGTCTTAAATAAAGATAACAAATCGGTTTCTTCTTCATTTACTGCAGTTTTTTGCGTTGCATCTTTTTTGGAACTATCCTTTTCTTTCGTTTTGTCTTTAGTGACAGGCCCTTTAGTTTCATCATGCTTCTTTTCTTCTTTTACAATATCGTTTATCAAACTTCTAAAAATAGTTAAAATACTTTATTTCAATTTCCACCTTAACATGTATCTCAGATTAACAAAACTCCTGTAAATGTAATTAATCGGTTCTGGTTTTGGCCATTCGATGATAAACAGGGGAACCCGACTTTCGGTCATTGCAATGATGATATTGGATCGAGATAAAACAAGGGAAGTTGGCTCTTTGCATATCTCCGTGTAATTATCATTCTAACTTACTTTTATCCTGGACGATGTAGGGATTGGCTTGTACATGATGTATATATTGCATAATTATATATTATATAAGTTCTAACTTCTTTTCAGATTTGCTGAAACAAGCTGTCTTGGAAATGATCTAATCTGTTCTAGAACAATTCTGCACTATACACCAGTTTGAGGGTATAACTGACAGAACCAGTTCTTGGGAGAAAATGACAAGATTTAGTTCTAATGTAGAGGTGTAAGAATCCGTGTTGGTCTTTCGACTCGGTTGTAGGGTTAAACTGACTGAATCATATAATCAATTCTACGGTAGAACTATCCAAAAGTGATCTACGGTTTTTACCTTGTACATATATTAACATTTTTAAAAAACAGTGCATACTTTTATGATAGACGTTTTAAGTGACTTACTATGTGGATTACTTTTAAAGTGGATTATATTGCGCCCGTGTTACATAAGCCATACATTCTATATGGATATTGTGCCCGTGTAATATAAGCCCAGATTTTTAAATCCGTTTGGATGTGCTCCTTTTTAGCAGGAGGAAGACACAGAAACGAAGAAGAAGAAGAAGAAGGTTGAAGAAAGTAAAAGAACAAAAATACTAAACTCCGCGGAAAATTATAAACGGAAAGTTCCTAAACCCTGTTAGAATCTGTTATTATGTCCTAGTAGAGAAATGTTTTGTTTTTTTTCGGTTAAAAACTGTCAGAATCAGTTTTATGGTAGAACGTTTAAAATCATTTCTAGGATATAACTCTCAGAATTGGTTTTAGGTTAGAATACATTCTAGAGTAAAACTGTCAGAATCATTATATGACCGAGCAATCATATATCATGCAAAAACGAGCAGTTCTTTTTACATGGTTTGAAACAGTTCTAGTTGACAGGAAAGTCAAGGACTATAAGATTTGTCCTTCTGATCAGTGTACAATTTTATACTGTAGAAAAAAATTTAAAATCTTGTGATCAGTTCCAACTTCTTTTACTTGTTTTTTTTTTCAATGTTATAATGAATGTTTAATCAAAATTATTGTTCCTGTTTTGAGTGTTAATCAAGAATCAAAATTATTGTCAAATAATAATTCAACCAACATGCCAAGAAAGCTGCATACAAGGCATACACAGACTTGTTGGTATTCTGAATTTGGTAGTTTTACAGGAATTTTGTATGAACCGAATGACAGACTAGAATTTTAACAATTTTGCAATGTCTGTGTATTCTGTATTAAGTGTGATAGATGAATACCATCATATGAGCGAAAGACAATATGTTGACTATGTTTTTCTTTTTAATTACTCCTGATTTGAGTTTTCAATCTAAGTTAATTCAAAACGAACAGGTTCTCCAAACTTGTCGCGCGTTCTGCATACAAGCTTTGCAATTCTGGAATTATATTGTTATAAGGTATACACAGTGAAAAGATAATTTCGATATCCAAATGAACCAACGAAACATACTAATGTTACTCCATTGTCTCTTTAATATTTGACTATTACCGTAACGTTATTTTCTTTATTCATAATGATTTCGAAATTTTCTAACAGTAAATTTGTATCAAAACAAAATCCGTATATTCAAGTCAGTACATGAGTACTGTTTTCTTTGGGATGATACCATATGGGACTTATATTCCTACAGTATCGACCCAGTAAAAGTGATAACATTAACGATATCAATTTTACTGCCAAGTGAAATGGGAATAGAAATCGGGATGTCATCATTTTTGGTCATTTATACACAGTCTACAAAGTAATTATATATATATAAATAGTGATGGAAATTGGTGACTTTGGGATAAAATCATCGTTTTTATTTTAATCAATGAAAAACTTATTCATTTTAATATGATATCAATAGAATGAAATATGTCTTTACAATACAACTCTTGTTGATCCATTACAAACATGATTGTAGGAGGAAACTGATAAAAGATCGTAGCCAGAAATTATCATAAAATCTTCGAAAATAGGAAACCGAAAAGTTGTCTATTAAATGTTTATCTATTGTAAACATAATTGTAAACGGAAACAGACAAAATTTCATGACAAGAAATTATTATTTGGAGTCAAAAACTACAACATTTTTCAGGAAATCGGAAATTGTGTCAAATGTAATGCAAATTAAGATTTGTTTTTTTAATATTTCCAACAAAATATACTGAATCAGTTGAAATATTTAAAATCTCTCAAGCAATATTCATGATATTTATCTTAGTCAAAAAACTTTCTTTTTTTAAATATCATCAAAAACTGGAACAGTATAAATATAATGTATTTTTTAAGTCAGTCAAGACCTCTGTTAAATTTTTTTGTCCGTTTTGTTTTATGTCTGTGATGTGGGTTTACACAGTTTTTTGTTGCTGGATCCCAATTATTGTCACATTAAACTTTTATGTCTGTTTGGGTTTCTCATTCCACTTTTATCAATACAACGTAGCTATAAACAACTGCCATACAAGTTGGAGGTTTGGCTAGTCTTAAAACGATGTTTAACCCACCATTTTCTTCAGAAATTGTCCGTATCAAGTCATGAATATGGCAGTTGTTTTTAACTTGTTCCGTTGATTGATACCGTTTGATTTTTTCAGTTTTATGGAATTCCCCCTTCTGAATTTACCTTGGCATTCGGTATTTTTGTTATACTTTTTTCAAAGACTGTATTAAGGTATGGATAGAACTTAAATTTCGTATAACTACTAGTATGTACAAATTGACCCAGAGCCTTAGAAGTAGTGAGAAGAAAATATTAAATATACAGATTAAGAACTTTATAAATGTGGCTGTTACGCATATTGTGCTTGGTAGATTCAGATACAAGGGGTTGTATAATATTTGTAAGATAACACGGCCATTTGTTATTAAGTGTGTATGCTTAGCCGACTATATGGTAAGGTTGTTTTTCTCATTTTTGAAAGCCGTACGGTTGCCTATGATTGCTTGCACCCACTTCATTTGAAATTTGGTGGATAGTTGTCTCATTGACAATCATATCAAATCTCCTCATTTTTATATGTATAAGAAATGACTACCGAATTACATGTCCTGACTTGGAATAGACACGTAAACTACGTACCGAGGTAAACATGTTTTTGAGCGCTCAATCCCCCCCTCCCTCATGGTACAGTGGAGTAAAACCACAAACATAAGAACAAACTGTAAAACACAGTTTGAAATAACTTGACTTATCAGATAGGCAATAAGCACAAAAAAGATGAAAACAACTACTATTAGACAAAAAACACAAAGTACCGATCTAAGAGTAATTACTGAATTCTAGTTCAAAGCCAATTACAACTAATAAATGAAGTATGTTCTCCCGGACTATGTACATCCTAAATTGTACAGGTTTCACATTTCGACAATCTCATTAAACAAAAACTTCAAAAGCACTATGTACTTTAAGTAGGACAACTTTTGAAACCGTTCTAAATTCACACCGCAATAAATACCCAATTAATTCAGGTTCTTCGTGTAAATGATCTCCTTTTGTTTATCATCTTAATAACGTGTTATTATATATTCTTTTATTTGTCTTTGTAAACTATTACTTTTACTGTTTAGTCTATTTTTGGTAATATCAATTTGGCATGGCTCGGTACTTATACATCCCGTTATTGTGTTATTGTGATATGGTAATTTTTACATCGGATGTGACCTTAAGAGGTCATACTGGTGTTATGTTGCCGTCGAAATTTCTTACGCTTTTGACTGATAACCGAACGTATTTCGTATAAATACGCGGATATTATCGAGTGCAAAATAACAATCCTTATCGCTTGTTATAAATTCATTTCTTCAATGAATACTCATGAAAAAGTAAAATAACAAAAATACCGAACTCCGAGGAAAAATTCAAAACGGAAAGTCCATAATCAAATGGCAAAATCAAAAGCTCAAACACATCAAACAAATGGATAACAACTGTCATATTCCTGAAAATATTTTAAATGATGTGAAAATGTTTTGTCGTGAGAAATATATATATATAAGTACCAAATCATGAATACCGAAAATGTGTGTTAACGCATGCGGAAGAATATCTCGAGGACGTTTTGCACTGACAAAGATGAAAATTTGCCTGTAGAGTTATTAAGATGATCTGCTATAAATATAACTGTTATACAAATATTGAATACTCATGAAAAAGTAAAATAACAAAAATACCGAACTCCGAGGAAAAATTCAAAACAGAAAGTCCATAATCAAATGGCAAAATCAAAAGCTCAAACACATCAAACAAATGGATAACAACTGTCATATTCCTGAAAATATTTTAAATGATGTGAAAATGTTTTGTCGTGAGAAATATATATATATAAGTACCAAATCATGAATACCGAAAATGTGTGTTAACGCATGCGGAAGAATATCTCGAGGACGTTTTGCACTGACAAAGATGAAAATTTGCCTGTAGAGTTATTAAGATGATCTGCTATATATATAACTGTTATACAAATATTAATATAATGTATAACAACAAACCAGCTTTATTATATTGATAACAAATGATTAAATCACTACAATATAATTATTATTACGGTGAGGTTGAATTCCCTGTCATTTATTCATCATCCACACAGGAACTTGTCACAGAAAAAAAAAATATATCTATGTACCTTAACCTAACTTTCAGGTATAGAGATATGATTTTTTTCTGAAACAAGTGCCTGTGACCATCAACCAGATCTTGCGGTCATCCGATGTTTAGTACTTCAGTACTTTGATTTGTATTCTTGTCTTTCGTTTTTACTAATGTGCTTTGTCGATATGCCTTTTTGTTTTTCTCTGTTGATATATTTGTTTGTTTTCATAGTGATTAAGACTATAACACGGTGTTGACTGCTGTACCCCTAATTTTTACATTTTTACCTATTATGTCTGTTTGATTTGTTCACACATCATTGTCAATATAATGGAATTTTATGTGACTGTCATACAAGTGAGGGTTTAGCTAGCTATAAAACCAGGTTTAATAAGAAAATGCCTGTACAAAGTCAGGAATATGACAGGTGTTATCCATTCGTTTGATGTGTTTCAGCTTTTGATTATGCCATTTGATTAGGGACTTTCCGTTTTAAATGTTCCTCGGAGTTCGGTATTTTTGTTAGTTTACTTTTTTCTCCTACTCGCCATCGTAAACAGTGACATATTACTACTGAATCGGGTTCCCACAATAACTTCAAAAAAAAACGTTTATTACACTGTTCGTTTGGTTATTCTATAAAAGGAAACATGACACTTAATTTAAATACGCAAAGAATTCCAATGTTTCTCGATGTATAATTTTTACTAGTCATCAGGTAAGAAAAGACAGCTCCTACAAACGAAATGTCAAGGGTTTTTTTAGAATATTTTTCAAAATATGATTAAACGAAAAAGATAGTAATTCTACTAAATAAAAGTTAGTATAGGTTTAAGTGAAAACTGTTTTGTACCACTCACAGTTCTTAAAGAATATATTTCTACAGTGATTTTCATATTCTAACTTTTCTTAAGTTTAGCAAAATATCTTACTGTATATCTTTTTCAAGTTCTTTCACACTTGTCTGAATTTTCCCCGATTTTTTAAAGTCTTTACGTATCTTCTTGCCGAGAGAACAGATGCATTCCAATATTTCGTCTTGGTCGTTCCTTAAATCAATAAAGAAAAATAGTAATATGAATATGGATTCTAAAATTCCCTTCAGACAATAAATGTTATGCTAATCAAATACTACATAATAATTGACAAAATTTCAATTTCAAATTTTCTTGGATATTTACCATTACATATATATATATAACTTCAAAGAAAAAATAATATTGCTACAACTTTGAAGTAATAATGACTACATGTTCAACCTTATGAACATACAAAACATTTCATAATAAGTAGATAAATTGAAGAAAGAAACGATATGAAATGAGTAAGAAAGGATTTGGTGTATCAATTCATCACACGGAATTACTGCGTACGAGCACAGAATGAAAAAAAAACAAACAATGCAACAGTTCTTCGTCCAAAGTCAGTTACACATTCTCACTCTGAAGATCCTTTTTGGAATTATTTTGTTTTGGAGTTTACTTTGAACATAAACATCTCCTTGGATTAAAGCTTATATTGAGTATAACGCACGCATCATGCAAGCAGTAAAGAAAATGAATTGCTTGCCATTCATTAATATCAACGAGTTTATTTCAAGTAAAAGTAGCGTTGCTGTCGTTAATTCTGTCTTTTAGCGTCTTTATTGTGGATGTCATATGTTATCCTTCAATCGTTATCGTGTTTCCTTCATTCCGTATACGTGAAATGCTAAATAGTCAGTCTTTGTCACGGTTTAAAATACATACAGTTTGGATCGATTCTAATATATATAAATAACTGCCAAAATGAACTCTCATAGATCTGTTCTTAAACATTTCTAACCTAGAACTGTTCTAGGGTACGTAGAACTGTCAGAATCTAATGTATGTTAGATTCTGTTTTATGATAGAACTGTCCAAAATAGTTCTAGGTTAGGACTTCCAGTGCATGTTCTAGAATCGAACTGTGCAAGTTTGTGTTATGGTATAACAGTTCAAATTTCGTCTGAGGTAGAAGTGTCCGAATCAATATTATGTTAGAACAGTTCACATAAGTTCCATTTAAGACCTGTCTAAAACTGTTCTAGGACATAAATGTAAAACAATAGAACAGTTCTGAATGACTTAAATAAGATAAGTGCTGATCAAGATTTGGCAGTCATGACATATTTAATATAAAACGATTGAATAGTAAAAAATTATAGTTTTTATATTTTCTTGGTTTAAATGTACTTTCCTTGGACTTTTCTATTAGAGATTTGGATGTATGTGAGTTATGCTTTTTCTCATATTGATGTTATTCATTTATATTCATTCATGCATAAACAGTACAGGAAACGTATTCTAATATTTCAGAAGTACCATTTTGTTCCTTTTTTTAACAAACTTTACTGATCAAATAGCACAGTGAGATTCTAATTACAGGTAGAATATTTGGATTTAACAATGACAATTGCATTTGCTCGATGAGTGGTTTGAAACTTGAGCTTACCAGTAAACTATGGTTGAATAATCTTTTGAAAATGTAGGTACATTCATTATGATTGATCGTTAACTGATATTGATATGTATATTTCCTTTCATAGAAAATGATTTAGTTTCAAACAATGTAAAATACAACTACAAAAAAATTAAAATTATATATCACTACATTTTGTTCGTGTGATTGTATGTATTTTCGATTTCATGTTCGAAAGTTTATTAATCCTACATGTAGTAACGAGTACCTAATTAACTTAAGATCAAAGCTAAAGAATGTATACAATTAAGATATGAGTAATGAATAATTTAAAGTCCCAGATAGTTCGTTTTCCGTTTCCGATTTCATTTTTCATAGAAGAGTCACTTGATACTTCAGAAATCTTAGTGTTGCGATCGAAACAACGTCTTCTACATGATAACATCAACTTATGGGTGATGTCATCCTACGGTAAGTTTTCATTTGGCAGAGGGGTCAAAGTAAAAAAGTGTGTTCGAATATTTATGTGGAAATATATTTAAAGCATTTTAGTTGCTTTCTTCGCCTGAGTGAAATACTAGACAGAAGCACAGAAAAATGTCAAGTGGTACGACTTTTTCAACCTCCAAAAAGAAACAACAGCTATGTAGGAACTCTCCTCAAAAGGTACCTGTATGTGGCCACGTGTTACTAGGTGATCTGTTCTTATACACAGGAAATTGTAAGCTTGGTAAATTTCTAACAGAAACTGGGTTTGCATAATTTTTTTTTATTATACTATATTTAATATCGTGTTCTTTTCAAAACAATGAACCAAACTAAACTGCTAATAAAAAATTAACATCGATATACCTAAAAATTATTTTGTTTAAACTAATATATATAATATATCAATAAAGTAGATCTTTCCAAAATGTTCTAGAGATTGAACTGTCAGAATATGTTCTGTGATAATACCGTCCATAAATTTTCGAGAGGAAAATTTCAGAAATATTTCCACAGTAGAAATGTTCAAATTTGTTTATGGATAGAACTGTAAGAATATGTTCGAGGATAAATCTGTCCAAAACTGTTGTAGGGCAGAACAGCTTCTGTCCGAAACTATTCTCACAGTGTCTTGACGGTTTCTCACTGACATATTTTAAGAGAGGTTGGAAATGATACTAACTATAAGGATAAAATTTTCACTAACGTTTTACTCTCGGGAACACCTCGTCTCTCTTTTGACGCATCTTCCTGTCTCCAAGTTGTTTAATTTTCAAACTTATTTATATTTACGTACAATGACTTATTTGTAAATTTATGGACCGGTATTTCCGAAATGTAGTCTTCTTCCACTTGTGATGTTTTTTTTTATATGAGCTTATTCATATAAGATAAGATAAAATGGTATTTGATTGCCAATAAAACATCTATCCACGAGACCAAATTACGAAGATTTAAGCAAATATAGGTCAATGTACAGCCTTCAGCAATGAACAAAACCCATACCGTATTGTTAGCTATAAAGGTCCAGAAATTAAATAAATGGAACAAAAGCAATACATATAAGAAAACCAACCGTCTAATTTCTGTTAAAATCAGTTAACGAAAAACAAATAAGAGAGACAGCGATAAACGATACCTACGGACATACATATACAGAATATGGCGGGGTTATACATGTTTGGAGCGCTCAGTCCTTCTTAAATCTAGATCAATGGTGAAACAGCACAATATTAAAATAAACTATCAATATAATCTGTTACAAAGGGATTGCCTCATCGACACAAAGAACAACAAACAAACGAAAAAACAAACAAACAAGCAAACAATAAATAAGAAAAAGACTAACGACACTAAGTTTACTCTTAGTTACTGAAATCTAGTTCAAAGCCAATAACAACTAATAAAATCATGTTTCTCAGATTAAACATCAAATGAATGTTATTGTAAAGACGTCATAAACAGTATGAGAAAAATGAAGACCTTGAGCAATGATAAAATATATGTATCGACAGGATGTCGGACCTTAAGTGTTCATACCTGTATTAGAAGAATTACATGTATATAGTTATGTTAAAATTTATTTATTATAACAAAAAAAATTTTAGTAACGGTAAAAACAACAATCAAAGACCGTGTAACAGTGTTAAAAAATTACATTTTTAAATATTTTATTTCAAAGGATCGTATCTAAATTTACGGGCTCTATAACATCACTGTATAAGTAAGAAAGTGATATTCCGATTGTAATAAGTTTTCTATAGCCAAACTTTCAAACCAAATCCACGACTTAATAATTTAACATTGTAACACAGATAACGTTTAATGAAATCTCTAACGTCACTACAGACACGGGCACAGCGAACGAATTTGGATGTATTAAAACATCGTAAGATGGGGCCAAAGGAACATCACTGACCAGAAAAAAAATAACAACACGAAATATCTACATCAAGGGCTGGACAGTTATTGGTGTTTATATTAGATTTGTTTAAAGTTAGTTTCTCTTGATAAATTAGGCCGTATATTTAACAATTCTTGATTATTTAACGCATAAATATCACCACGGTAACGGCAATGTTGTTGAATCTGCATACACTAATTATTTCAGTTTTAAAAATACGATATGGTACTGACCATGCTGACAGTGTATTACTTTAAACGCTTTCTATTGGTTTCAACTTTGTTATGGTTTAGACCAACATGGAAGTGAACGCGTTAAAAACATATTATAGAAAATATTGTTCGGCGTTCCTAAAGTAAATTAGAAAAGGTATTATAAAATTATGTCATTATCAATCAGTTAATTACAAACTAAAGTAACATAAAAGAATTGATACATTAACTTCAGGGATTGATTAAAAGAAAGCACCTTTTCCAAAAAAAATCTAATATGTTCATGTTTGGCATATTTGTTTTTCGTAAATTGTTCTGATATAAATTAGGCCGTTAGTTTTCTCAATCGTTGAATTGTTTCAATTTTTTCATGCTAGGGCCGACCATACGGTATGGTTTTTTTTTCCCCTATTTTTGAAGACCTTACGGTTGCCTTTAATTGCTTACATCCACTTTATTTGAACTTTGGTGGATATATAGTTGTCTTATTGGCAATCATACCACATCTCCTTATCTGTTTATATTAACACTGAGTAAGTTAATAATAACACCCCTCTAGCTATATACATACCGCTGTGGGTCTTTTTTCGATTGTGCTGGTGACGGCGCATTCGGAGTTTTACTTTTCTGAAATAGTCAGATTTTGCATGTTAAGAAAAATGTACATGAAGTCGTATTTACAGAATTAAATCAAAACCGAATCAAACTCCCACTGTCACAGTCGATCTTTGAAGATTTGGCGGCTCTGCTCAGACCATTTTGGTCTAATGCTCATCAAACATGTACATTTTTTTAATTAATAACTTTGATATCGAGCATGCATGGGGAAGATACTTTATACAAATTTGTCGTACCCACGGACATCAGGATCTTTATTAATGAAGTTTCTGGCTTTTCTTTTCTTTTTGTTTTGTTTTGTATTTTATTCCCGTCAAGTGAAGTCAAAATTGGTTGAAAACAATATATGTAAGTATATTCACCAGACTCAAGCTGGTAGCCACTTTTAGCAGCCAATCAAGATAGCAGCCACTATTTTCCAGCAGCCAATTTTCATAACATGTCTAAAAACGAAAAAATTGTATCAGACTCAAACGTTCCAAAAATCTATAAATCTTAGTTAAATATAATTTGATAGCGGAATTCGACATTTTCACGGCTTGTCGTGATTCTCAAAAGAAGACAGTCCGTTTTAACTACCAATGATGATAGCAGCCACTTTTTTTCGGAGGACACTGTTCGTTTGATAAAAATTGTACAATTTAAAATCGTTTTTCCGTTCTTTTTCTCGTTTTTCTTATTTCTTCACAATGTAGGAATAGAAAATAAAAAAAAAACAAAATACAACTACCATTGTTAATATTAGATTTAAGTGGGTTGTGAGGAATCGTGTTATACATATATAATTCCAACCAATTTGAACTGAATAAAAATGATGCAATGTACGATAGAAAAATTACATACATGCTTTCCATACACTCGGCATCCTCAAATATCCAGTATTTCAGTTGAAACCATTTTTAATATCTATTTCTGTATATATGAAATGAAAACATTTCGATATACATGTAATGTAAATCTCTCTTTTAATGTGAAAAGTATTTTCTAAAAAAAATCCTATTTGTACTATTTTGTACGGCATACAAAATTACCAATTCATTAATTTGAAACTGAAATTTTCCTTGTCAAATGTGCCGGTACAAATAATTGACATATAACTAAAACTGTGGTGGCCAGACGGGCCCGGATCCCAGAAAAATATTTAAGTGACGAATAGCCTCGGTCAACACCTTTGAAATGAGCTAGGCCTGGTTCGGAACTTTGCCGTACGTACTTGCCGAGGAGTACCGAAAGAATGTGTGGTTGATATGAAAAGTATGTTAAGGGACAACTTTGAACCTCTGTGGTGGCCAGACGGGCCCGGATCCCAGAAAAATATTTAAGCGGGGAATAGCCTGGGTCAATTCCTTTGAAATGAGCTAGGTCCGGTTTGGTACTTTGCCGTAGGGATATGCCGAGGAATACCGAATGTGTAGTTGGTATGGAAAGTACGTTAAGGGGCAATTTTGAACCTCTGTTGTGGCCAGACAGGCCTGGGCCCCAGAAAAATATTTGAGTAGCGAATAGCCTGAGCCAATACCAGTAGTGTAGAAAAGAGAGTTCTACCGCACTTTCAATTTTAGTAACAAAAAGTGAAAGTGAAAGTTAGGAGAGTGAAAGTGAAAAAGAAAATGACGTCATACTATAAAGTAAAAGTAGTGACGTTACATTATAAAGTGAAAGTAGTGTAATGGTGTAAAAGTGAAAGTAGTACGATTTAAAACTGTTGAATAGGAGTAAGGTGTATAACGTGTTAGGGTAAAGTATGTTAGGGTTAGGGGTGTTAGGGTTAGAATTTGAATAGGAGTACGGGGTGTTTTTTTTAGAATTGAAAAAAAAACAGAATAAAGAAATATGTTTGTAAGTATTAAGATTACGATGGCATCTTATAAACAATGTAATTTCATTGATCTGAATACCTTTCACACAAAGGAAGAACAAAAAGAAGTAGTGCTTAAATGGAAGGACCTACCTGGGTTGAATAAAGAAAATAAAACGTTGGAAGGGTCGTTCATAAGAAGTAATGGTTTAAAACGAAGTGATAAAACAAAACAAGAGTATTTTTCCTACACCCTAGTTAGACAGTAAACTGAGAAGTATTACGTGTCTTGATTTTTTTTACATCTAGTAAACACTAGATTTAAAAAAAATACAAGTGGTAGTGAGGGGTGAAAAATTGAAAAAACTCACGATAAAGACATGTGTGCAAGGTATTAAATAAACTATGGCATCAACAAACGAAAAAATACCTGGCCATCTAGATTGTCATTTACTACACGTATACCTAATGAAAGTGGTGGTGCTAGGTTTATAAAGAAAACACCAAAGGGTCAAGTAAAAACAACGGTAAAGCAATAACATAAAATGGCAAAGGATTTGGGGTTAAAAGGGAATAGTAGAAAACCAAAAGACGTGTTGGTAAACTTTATTGAAGACAAAACTAATCAAGTGTTACCCCGTACAGAATGTTTTACTAAGAATGAATTAATACTACAAGCAAAGAAACGTGGTATACCTTATACTTATAGTCTAAGGAAAAACGTCTTGTTACACTTAATACAACAAGACATAGCAAAGGAACCTGCTATTAAGGTGAAAGATATTACAAAAGTACTAAATGGTGTATTCGGTACAGTGACCATTGAACCGTTCAAACCACAGGATGTTAGTACATTTTGTTAAGGCAAGTCGAAGTGCTTTGATTGGTAAAATGTTAGAAGCACAAAAAGTGAAGAACAATTAGAAGTGTACCCGTTCAGAATTTCAAAAAACATAGGAAAGGACAAAACCCACATAGACTTGTTGTATTTAACCAATGCTACTAAACAACATAACTGTTGGAAAAAGTTTATCACATTTGTTAAGTGCCCAAGTGTCATCCCACAATGGTAAAGTGTTTTTTTTTTTTTTTTTTTTTTGTCGAAGGTGTATGAACAACTTTTCAAGAGAAGACATTTTAGGCGAACATTTAGAGTATTGTATTCAGAAGGATGCAGTGAAAATCGAGATGCCAGAAGAAGATACCTTTACAACTACAAACGTAAAATGCGAATTCCTTATGTTATGTATGCTTTGACTTTGAATGTTACTTAGAACAGATAGACACATGCCAACCTGACGAGTCAAAAGCTTAAGCGAATGCTTACCAACGACATACACCTTCGGGTTTTACTACCGTGTCAAGTATGCTCATGGGGAGTACAAAGAAACAAAAGTATACTCAGGGGAAGACGTTGTTAAAACATTTGCCTTGTATGGAAGAGGAGGTGAAGGACATTGCAGACATGTACATGGATAAGAAAGACATGGTGATGACCGAAGAAGACCACCAATGTTTTAAAGCGAGTACACGTTGTCACATTTGAGATGATGAATTAGGGGAAGACAAAGTGCGTGATCACGACCACTTGACAGGTAAGTATGATGGTGCAGCACATAAAAAATGTAAATAGACTTTCAACTACCCACCTTTATTCCCATTGTGTTTCATAACTTAACAGGGTATGACGCCCAATTTTTGGTAAAGGCATTGGGGTTTACCGAGGGTGAAGTGAATTGCATTCCCAATACCGATGAAAAGTACATTAGTTTTAAGAAAGTGGGTGGGTTATAAATGCCATTCATTGATTCATGTATGTTTATATTAAATTCGTTAGACATCTTAGCTAAGAACTTAAAACTGAACCAATTTAGTTTTACTGTGCGTATTGCTATGTGTTTCTTTATTCTACATTGGCTAGAGGTATAGGGGGAGGGTTGAGATCTCACAAAACATGTTTAACCCCGCCGCATTTTTGCGCCTGTCCCAAGTCAGGAGCCTCTGGCCTTTGTTAGTCTAGTATGTTTTTTAATTTTAGTTCATTAATATGTTTTGGAGTTTAGTGTGACGTCCATTTTCACTGAACTAGCACACAATTTTAGTTAGGGGCCAGCTGAGGTCCACCTCCGGGTGCGGGATTTTCTCGCTGCATTAAAGAGCAATTGGTGGCCTTCGGCTGTTGTCTCTTTGACATATTCCCCATTTCCATTCTCATTTAAAAGGTAGTGAAGGCTTGTTTTGGGGAGCATTATGAATTAATGACAAGGAAGGGTGTGTATCCTTATGATTTCATGAAGGGTGATGACAACATGAAGGAAACACAACTACCCCCTGCTGACCAGTTTTACAACCGACTTAACAATGAACACGTTAGTGAGGCTGACTATGCTCATGCACAACATGTGTTTACTACATTTAACTGTCAAACATTACAATACTACCACGACTTGTACTTGAAAGGAGACGTTGTGCAATTGGAAGATATCTTTGAAATCTTTAGGGATAGTTGTTTAAAGCATTACGGGGCTTGACCTATTACATTATTACACGTCACCAGGGCTAGCTTACGATGCGGCGTTAAAAATAAGATTAGAATTGTTACACGACCCAGACATGTTACTTCTGTTTGAAAAAGCGACACGAGGGGGTGGGGATGCGGGGGATGCTCAAATAAGCCATCGACATGGGGTGGCCAACAACAAATACATGAGGGACTACGACCCTTCACAACCTTTCTTGGAATACTTAGGTGCTAACAATTTGTATTTTTTGGCCATGTCAGAACCGTAATCAACAGGGAGTTTTGAATAGATGGGCGACTTTGAAGACATTGACATGTGGGAAGATGAGGATGAGGCTGGGTACATGATTGAACGTGATTTGGATTACCCAGCAGACCTTTACGGTAGTCATAACGACTAACCCTTTTTACATGAAAACATAGATAGAAATGAACAAGGTTCATAAGTTGGTACCGCATTTAAACAAACGTGTTAAGTACGTTCTTTATCATAGAATTTGAAACAGTGTTGTTCCCATTGGGTGGTATTAACCAAAGTGCATTATTTGTTTAAATTTAAACAATCACGTTGGCTTAAAACTTTCATTGACCTGAACACTAACCTCAGAACCATAGCCACCACCGAGTCTGAGAAGGATTTTTTTAAACTGATGAACAACTCAATGTTTGGAAAGACCATGGAAAATATAC